CTCGTGACCATGGAGCAGCAACGTAAATTCAATCGATATTCGATACAAAAATGCGTATCACTTGCCCCATGAAGCCAAACTGCAACAAACCATTTACATGTTCTGGTGCTATCAGGCAACATCAGGAAAAATTTTATTCTAGGGTGAAATGGGACAGAAGCTAAAGAATCAGAAGCTGAAAATGAGAAGAATTAGAGGCTGCACGGCGTATTCGATGCTATTATCAAAGTGTAGAACAAATTTATAATCTCACTTTAATATTGAAATTTCTGATCTGTTTTGTCTTTACTCTTTTTGCTACCCGATATTTCATAGAAATGGCGGCATGAACATGTTGGTTGACAGCGATACATAACGACTCGAAAATGAGTATCACTGATCATTATAGAATAGTGGCGACGTATTGAACCTGACTTCTGTATGGACGGATTGTGAAACTGTACAATAGAAGGCGTTGTCGGAAAAACCGAAATAGCTGTATCATAAAATCATTCATTCAAATAGATCGCACTTGCATTTTTTCTCTCATGTCTAAAGTCATGAGTCAGCTATCCAATCTACTAAAAGTGCTTTTTTTGATGTTAAGCTTTGTACATATCTGGTAACTAATTTGTAAAGGCTTTATTCCATGAAAAATCTTGTATACAATGGTAAGAAACCTGTACATCTGATAAAATAATTTCTATGCAATTTTTTATAAAGAAAACTGTTCTTATATGTAAATTTCTCTTGCACCTGTGAGAATACTGTCAATATGTAATGATTGTTCCTCGTCACACATCCCATATATAAACCCTACGAAACTATAACAAAATCCAATGTCAATTTTCTTCACGTCGCCACTCAACTCTACTCAACACGACCTTCATTTATTTCTTCTCCGTTTACGAATTGCTAATTCAATATTTCTCCCGTTATTCTACGTTATTAATTTGGACTTCATTCTACTATAATCGGAATTAGTTCTAACTTATTTTTATTGCATTTGTTATTTGAACAACAATAAAGGATAACTATCATACTCCTCGAACACACAATCAATCAGTATTCAATAAGTCATTCTTTGAAAAACATAACTGTTTTATTACGAACAAGAACGGTAATTTTCATCTTCTAATTCTCTTAATTTTTGTCACGACAGGCATCTTTTATGGTAATTGATCCTTGAACTGTTTGTCATACATTTTAATAATGTTTCTGGCGTAGTTTTTACCAAACTGAAAAACACATGCAAAGACTGAAGTCATTAATAGATGCTAAATTACTTCCGTGCAAAGTTGTCAGTCAAGCATTGAATGCCAAAAAAAATTATCAAGCAGTGTTTAAAAATTTGAACAAATTACAAGATCTGCGAATAGTACAAATTGGAACAACACTGAACAATGGAAGCATGGGATAGTAATGGTGAAATATATGAATTATTGATTTATTAGATGTAATTCAACATTACTGATATTTTTGAGGTAGAATTTTGATAACTTTTGGAAAAAATTAAAAAAAAAAGACTAGGTTTTTGTCAAATTTTATCATTTTGATATAAGAAATCAAATTTTGCAAACATAATGTTTTAGCTGCAATTATCTTATCTTTCTTCCACAAAATTGTAATATTCAGAAAATTAATTATTTTTTTAGAGAATGATTGAAATCCTTTAAAATATCATTGTAATTTTTCCGCTACTCACATTTATAGTTTGCATAATTTTTGTCATATGTAAAAGCAAGTAACAAGACACAATCATTATCCCAGTTAATGACATGATATCATTTTATTTTATCAATTTGTTTTTATAATCATTTTGTTGTGACTTCATTTTATTTTGACATAGATATATAATA